TAATGGTTAGATGAGTCTGAGTATCAATTTCCTCATGTTTAACGTGAGGCCATGCCTTTCACAAGGAGTGTGCGAATGAAGTCTATTAGTGTCATACTTGCCAAAGCATGAGCATGGAGCACAGTGAATTTCAGCCTATTTACTTCTCTGACAGTTGTGTTCTTTGCTTTCCCAAGGCTCTGTTCCTTCCAACTCCTTCTATACGCTCATTTTATTTGAAGTCACTTAAGCAGTGGTTATTTGTTGTGATGGCTAGTTTAATGTCAACTTGACACAAGCTAAAATAATCAGAAAAGGTGTGGTCTCAACTGAGAAAGTGCAATCCTATAGAACATTTTCTCAATTAGTGATTATGGGGCAATGCCCAGACTATTGTGGATGGTGACACACCTAGGCTATTAGTTCTGGATTCCATAAGAAAATAGGCTGAGCAAGCTGTGAGAGCAAGCCAGTAAGCAGCTCCCCTTCATGACCTCTGCATCATCTCTTGCTCCAGGTTCCTGCTCTATTTGTGTTCTTGACCTGTCTTCCTGCATTGATGAACTGTGATCTGGAAGTGTAAGCCAAATAAACCCTTTCCTCCCCAACTTGCTTTTAGTGGTGATGATTCATCACAGCAACAGTAACCTTACCTATACTTTAGTGTGGATGAGTTTTGATTTTTATCTTAACCATCACTTACAATGTCTTTTAGGATACAATTGTGAATAAAGGACTTGCCAAATGGGATAGGTGCCAAGACTATCAGGATCTCGGAATGTTCCATTTGAGCCTGTATTGATGAGGTTGCTACTGCTTCTAGAAATTGCTAGAGGTGAAAAAAGGAGGATCCCAGGTCATTGGTGTTTTCTCCATCTCTGCCTCCATAGGAATCCCTTTCAGGTTAGCACAGGTGACTGCAGACTTGTGTTTGTCCTCCCAAGCTGATTCTCTCCAGAATGGCCTCCATCTCTGCTCTGTAACCACCACACTCACTCATCAAAAACATCTCGGATGTCTGCTGAAATTTTATTTTTATTCGAGTTTAGTAATATTCTCAGGCATGAATTCTCCTCAGCACCATCTCTGCTTTTCCTGTAGTGCATATCTATGAATGTCCTCTTAGTTTATACAGCTTTGCTATGTAAACAGAGAGAGTGTGATGAGACACCAGAAGTTATCCAAGCATCCGCACTTAGGCACTCACTGAACCTCACTAAGCATCAACTTTCTCTTCTTTCCAATATGCCTTATAATCTGTACCTCAGCATGGCATTAGAATATTAGATGAGATGGAACAGGAAGATGCTTTCCTATTCGCATGTATCACTTATATGTGTGCTCTGATTTGTGTCTCTGTGTCATTAGAAAGTGGTTTGTACCAACTCATCCGTAGTGTTAAACACTATATAATTTTGGTTAAATTATAGATACTTTCTAAATTGAGTATCATTTTATAACAATCTTTTTTTCAATTTAAAGAACTGATCTCTAAAACGAGGCCATCTGAGGAGTGTGAGAGGCTGTTCAGTAGCTGAGAGCTCTTGCTGCTCTTCCAGAGGAATTTTGGCTGTGTGAACCCACCTAGGTCACCTAGCACTCACCTTCATGTGACCGCAGCTCTGAGGGACCTGCTCCTTTCTGGCTTCCACAGACACTACACACAGTTGCAGCTCTCCCAGAGTTAAAAAAATAATTAAAGAGAAAAGAGTAAATGAACACAACTTGAAAAACATTTTATTGACAAACTCTCAATGTAGCTACATCTAATTGCAATGTTGCTTCATTCTGGTTTCTAGAATTTGTGTCCCTTGTTCAATACACTCTCTGTTTTGTTTACTTTTAGTCATTTTTTCATATGAAAGGATGACAAATATTAAAATTCCCACAGATATTGTACTGTAAAATGATTGTGAAATGCTTTTAAATGACAAAGAAACACATTTTCAGACAGCATCACTGTTTACCTAGAACCAATTCCATATTCCACCTAAATGGAATATCCTTTAGGGAAAAACAAAAGTATCATTGGAAGACTAATAATTATTCTCAATGTTTCCTTCCATTCTTTTAAATAAGTTCAGACATTTCTTTTGCCCACAAAATTGGTATTGTGCTTTACATTTTAGTTTGAATAGTCCCACTAGCTGGTGACTGTATTACCAAAGGATGCAAATCCTCATGATGACTGGGAGCTTATGAGGCAGCCTGGAGCTTGATGAAGTGTGTCACTTCAGCACTTTTCAGAAAAGTGAAGTTATGTTTTCTGGTAAAAATAAACTGGATTTCTGTGGAACATATTTGAAGAAGATAACTTCAAAACAAGTTTCATTGGTTGAAAATTGTAATTCATTTATTGTCCAATGCCATTTGTAATGACCAGAAGAATAAATTTGACACTTCTTCATACTGCTTAGATACTAGATCCATCAATGATATGTGAAAAATTATAAGAAAACTATAAAACCTGTTTTGTGCCATTTTCTATGAATGAGATAAAGATAATATTTTTCACACAGAAGTGTTCTGAAGGTAATCAACATAAGAAAACTACTTGGGATACTATCTGACACCTGAAAAGTCAACAAATAATAGCTATTATTACTATTAGAATAGCATTAATAAAGTTATGATCAAGGCTCAGTAGAGTACCAGGCAAAGATGCTGGTATCTCTCAGCCCACCCTAACCCTATCCCTAACCCTGGGGGGGGGACTTTAAATTCAAAGACAGCCTGGCTTCTATAGTGAGTCTCAGACAAGCCTGGACTACTAGAGAAGTGCTATGCAAAATGCAAAGTAAGGAAATGCAACACTAGCTATTAGGTTTTCCCCATTTGATGGTACTAGGGATTTGAACCCAGGTCTTGTGCATATATATAAAACACCAATTGAAGAAAAAGATAATGAATTTCAAAGAGAACAGGGTAGAGGGAGGGAAGAGAAGGGGAAAAACATAATACTAGAAATAAAAAGTAAAAGAACAAAAATAGCATTTTATTTAAAGACAGGCTCATTTAGCGGTTTACTTCAATTAGGCCTTATCAAAACTACAGTACAGTTAGTTGTATTAGTTGTTTGTTCTGTTGCTGTGACAAAATAACTAAGAAAGCAATGTCATAGGTGGTTAAGTTCAGTGGACAAAGAACTTCCACATAAGCATGAGGGCAGGACTTTGGACCCTCAGTAGCAACATAAGAGCGTGGCAGTGGCAGCATCCTCCTATAATCCCAGTGTATGAGTGGGACAGCTGGCTAGTTAGACTTGCTGAACCAGCAAGATCTGGCTGCAACTAGAGAAGCTGCCTAAGTAAATAATGGAGATGGTGACCAAGAAAATACCTGACTTCAACCTCTGGCCTTCACAAATGTCCACACACGCACACACGCGCGCGCGCGCACACACACACACACACACACACACACACACACACACATATACACACAAGAACATGCTACTTCACATACACATATACCACACACACAAAATACAACCATACATACACATTACAATAGCAAGATATTAAAATATATTGGCACTACTTACATTTACAACTAATATACTAGCTATATTCATAGAAAACCCAAAGACACTTTTTGTGTTTTTTATTTATTGTTTGAGAGTTTCTATTATTATTTTTTAAAACATATACAGTGTATTTTGATCATATGCTTTCCATTCCCCTAGTTCCTCCCAAATCATCCTCACCTCAAAAAAAAAAAAAAAAAAAAAAAAAAAAAAAAAAAAAAAAAAAAAAAAGAAAAAGAAAGAAAAGAAAAGAGAAAAACATTCAATGTTTAAAAAAAAAAAATCAATACAACAACATCAATAGAATGACAGAAAGCACACAAAAACCTTTGGAATCCATTTTGTATTGGTCAACTACTCCTGAGTATGGAAACTGCCCTGGAGTAAACTTGATATACCCACTGACACTCTATTGGAGAAACTAAATTTCCCTTTCTCAGCAGTTATTAATTGCAGATATTTAGGAATAGGGCTCAGTGTCTGCTTCGAGTTCTCAGTGCTGGGATTTTGTCTGCTCTGACCCTGTTCAGTGTATGCTGTCCGCTTCTCCATTCATTTGTACATCAGTCTTACTGTGTCTAGAAGCTGCTGTTTCCTTGAAGTCATCCACCCCCTCTGGCTCTTAAAATCCTTTTACCTCCACTTCTACTCAGATTTCTGAGCCTGGAGGAGAGGGGTTTGATAAAGACATCACAGTCAAGGCGGAGTGCTCCAAAGTCTGTTACTCTCCACACATTGTCCAGTTATGGGTCTCTGTATTAATTTCCATCTACTTCAAGAAGATTCTTTCATGAGTGTTTAGTGAGGCACTGGTCTATGGGTGTACTGCTAGGAGTTATTTATTCTATGCTGGGTTCCTTTGGCAGAACAATAGTGATAGGTTTTCTCCTAATGCTCTTGATCTGTCTAGTCTCACATTCTTCATTACTTTATGAGTGCTGGATGTGGGTTCCATCTCATGGAGCAGGTCTTAAATTCAGTCAAAGTGTTGGTTACTCCTATTGGATTTGTGCCACTCTTACAGAAGTATATCTTACCTCTCTTTTAAGCTGCAAGGTTTGTAACTGGGTGATAGTGATGATTACTTTTTTCCCGCAGCTGTGAACAAAGAACCTTCCAGCATCGTGAATGCTAGTCAGTAGGGGTGAGGCTTTTAGTTGGATACCAGCTTGGCTTGTCACTGTTCAATGACGTGCATATTGTCTTCAGCACTAAGGCCTTACCATCAGGTTGTAGAGAACAACCAAATAAACTTGGGAGTAGCCCGTGATATTTGAAAGGGGTGGGCCATGTGACCTCCTTGGCCAATGACTCAACAATATGTAACCCATTCCTGGCACTAGAGGTTTTTACTAGGTGGTATAAGATGTCTAGTTGGGGCATTGTCCAAACCTTTATTTGATAGATGTTATTAGACATAAGTATCTTGATTTTAATAAGTATATAGTTTTTAAAAATGTTCAATGGCATATTTTATTTTTATTTACACTAATAGATTCAGAGACGATGGCGTGGCTTTAGGATCCGGAAATACTGCTTTAATTATTATTATTTGAAGGAATACTTGAGAGCTGTTTCAGAGACCAATGATGCAATTAGGTGAGTAATATAACTACTCATGTACTACTGAAAGTTAGCATGGACTATCAATAGATAGTGATTATTATCACACTTAGGGAAGCCCTTGAGACCTAGTGATAGTGTGTTGGCAAGATATACCTACATGATTCTACTTACCTTGAACATTTATTGTCCCTGTGTTAAAGTTATCATGCATTATTGACTATAAATTAGATTATTTATGCATGAAATATATGGTCATACAAGAATTTACTTTCTATAAAACTATCATATAATGTTAGATTTATCTATAAAAGGATTCAGCAGATGAAGTCTTCAATAAACCTCATGTGTATTGTGATAAGCATGCACAATAATGAACTTTCTTCTGAAGGAGGAAAATATCATGGACCACATTAAGGGGAGCAATCTGACAGCAAACTGTATTTTTGAACATCTAGTAAGATAGGACGTGGCTTTTAGGTACCAGGACATCATCTGTAGATAGATACAAAATGCAGGAGTCATGGCACTTTTCAGTCAGTGTTTCCAAAGCACCATGATGAGTATCTGAAACCCTGCACTGGGGAAGGAGATGTAGGCAAGCAGATCCTTGGACTTCTTGGTCATCCAGCATAGCCAACGGTGATTGCCAGGTTCACTGAGAGGTGGTGTGTCAGAAAACATGGTGGGGGAGCAATCAAGGAAGACACTGGATGTTTGCTGACATCACAGGCATATGTCCACACAGACACACCTGAAAATGTATGTACATACAACACACGTGAACACACAAATTTAAAGTAATTTTGGTACTGTTTATTTCTATTTATAGTATTACCCATATACTATATGTTTTACGTAGTGTGATACCATTTTTAACTTCTTTGGAATTTACTTCTAGATTTATACTATTACAGTCAAAAATATATTTTGGCATGAATATTGCTTTATTGGTTTTCAACTTACATGGATTGTTTTCTTTTATATGTTCTTGAAGGGCAAGGAAATGGATTTTGGTTTTCCATCTGTGATCAGTTGTATTTTAATTGCACAGCAAAACAATTACATTTGTTATATTCTGTACTCTTGTTTAATGTTTCTGATTTTTTTGATTCTTATATAATATACAAACTATTATTTGTTTTTCTGAGGTTTTCTTTCTACTCTTCAGGTTGCCTTTTTAAAGCATTTATTTCATTTTGTATTTCTCTGTGTGTGTGTGTGTGTGTGTGTGTGTGTGCATGTGCCCTGTGCGTGTGCGTACACACACTCATACACGTGAGTCCAGGTGCCTGCAGAGGCCAGAAGTGTCAGATCCTTGAGCTAGAGTGGCAGACAGTGTGAGATACGGGTGCTGGGCAAGAGTCCGAGGCACTCTTAACCACTGAGCTGACTTCCCACTCCCAGTTTGCCATGTTTTAATCATGGAACTGGGCTATCCTTACTTTAGTGTAGCTGAGCTTCCCTGGAAAAAGGCTGATGCCATCTCCCCTTCGGCAACATGAGGACAGGGGTCATCATTGCTGCCTTCCGTACCTCTGTAATCTTGGAGACTAACATATTCTGCAGACAATATTAGCTGGCTAGGTTCCTAACATGGTACATAATGAAACTACACTGTATTTTTAAGTTTGTCAGCTAGAGGCAGTTTTGAGAATATTATTTTTGTTTTTTAATCTTCATCACCAATTCCATTCAATAAACACTTGTTGACTTCGATGCAGGCCTCGCGTTAGCTTAGATATTGAGATACAATGATTTAAATGAGAAACTCTTGTTAGCCTTAATGTACACATGCTTTATAGGAACATATCACAAAAATAGAAACAAAAGCAGAAAGCATTTGTGTTTTCTATGCCCAAGAAATATACTAATTTTTTTAGAATTATTACAGATTTTTTATAACACAATATCCTCACAGTCTGACTTTGTGAGCTGACTCTGTTTCTTGCAGACCCCCTCAGTGCCTTCTTGTTCTGCAGTAGCTTTCCTAACTTCCTCAGTCTGATGGTGTCCCTCCTGATTCCTCTCTGCACTATGTGTGTTTCTCTGCTGCCTTCTGATCTGTTCTCTGCCTGCTCTTCCCCCATCCCAGCAGAAGACATGAGTGGTTTCATTAGACAGGGAACTATTGTAGCGTTTGGATTCGGTTATTTATATTTTTGGTTAAGTACTGGTGATAGAGAAATTCTCAATCTCTCTTCTGTCTACTAAGAAAGGCTGAAACAAAAACCAAGGCATGTGCACATGTGCATTTAGTTATGAACCACGTTGCCCTAACTGGAAATTAACTCTTCCTGGGATGTGAATTACTCAGGAGCCCAGGCACCTGAACATGGTCCAAGCTCATTCTCACCTGAAATTCCCTGAGGAATCCTTGGGGTCTCTATTACAGTAAGATTGGATTGGTGATGACAGATGAATGTCTACACTATTAACATAATACAAAAATTAACATATTTCCCTATAGCTCTTTATTCTGTAGGACCACACAGGTTACTGTTTTCCACAGTTTCTCTTTCTTGCTTCCTCCACCCCAACACACATCCTTTCCTTATCCTTCCGGACATTCTTCTTTGTCCCACATTTCCCCTATTTCAAGGTTGCACTTTCTTGAATATATCTTGGTTTTTCATAGGCCTTTTTTCCTTGGGTAGAAACATTAGGGTATCTGATCATTAGATTCTTCAAAAACTTCTATAAGGAATTTGACTGATTGAAATGTTAATGATACATCATATTATATGATATATATGGATTATATGTATATGTATACACATATGTGTATATATGTACAATATACATATTATGTGTACTGTACAGAGTTTGTGATTAATGAACCTTTCATTTAGCCTTCATTTAAAATTTTAATATTTAAGTAAACTGGTAAAACATCTGCTAAAAAGGCACATACACTCATAATAAATATAATTTATATAAAAAGAAATGTTCAGGTTTGCTTTAATGTTGTATCCATATGTCCTTTTGCTTCTCTGTAAATGAGAACTTATTTTAAGTTCTTACAACATTTTATTTATTGAGAAAGAAACAGACAGAGGTGCAGGGTGGGGGGTCAATATATGGGAGTACACACTTGCTGTGGTAGTGGAGCTATGTAGGGCAGTCAGAGGTCATCTTTGTGTAGGTCATTCTCTTTCCACTCTTACTGCTTCTGGGCACTGATCTTAGGTCCGTGAGATTTTACAGCAGTTGCCTATATAGGCCAAGCAATCTTGCCAGCCCATAAAGATAACTTCTTGAGTTTCCATTTTTAACTGTAATTGGTGTGTGAAAATGTTATCTGAGCTAGTGAGATGGCTCAGTGGGTAAAAGTGCTTGCTGCTAATCCTGACAGGCCAAGTTCAATCTCTGGAAGCCACATAAAGGTAGAAGGAGAGAAAGAACTCCACACAACTAAGGTGTGTATGCCATACCATCATGCAAGCATGCACACACACACACACTCATAATAAATAAAATTTATATGAAAAAGGAATGTTTGGGTTTGTTTTAATATTGTATCCAGATGTCCCTCTACAATCTTAATGAATTTACTAGTCAATTGATTTGAGCACTTCATATATAATAAATTGTATGTGCCATTTAAAAATAATCAAGTTGTTTTTCTTCTTCCAACCTTATTCTTTCTGTGTCTCCCAGCATTAGGTAGAGCCTTCGCCCAATGCTGACTAGGAAGGGTGGGTATATCATGTTGGTATTTGAGAGAGGAGACATGGTATTTTACAAAAACAAATAGTAATTGTTGAAATGTGTTAGTTCTCAAATGAAAAACCTTCATAAATTTAATAAACATGTCAGATAATCTTCATATACATTAGATACTTTTCAACTACCTTTTCTGCACTTATTGTGATTGTTAATTTCCCTTCTATTTAAAATAGCTAATTTAAGTCATATTTACAGTGTAAACATACGGAGTATGTTGCCAGTATACTAATTGAGACAGGAGGAACTCTCTTCCCACATTAGTCATCATGATAGCCTATCAGTTTCTACAGATGTACAGATGTCTGCTCTGCAATCATTTTGTTCTTTGTGGTCAGTTTGTAAGATATTAAAGGTTATGTTTAATTTTGATGAATAATCAAGTAATCTGCATTTATTTTCTGTAATAATGCTCTGCTCTTTATGATTTTTGCATTAATCATACAACATTCATTTGTGTGTGTGTGTGTGTGTGTGTGTGTGTGTGTGTGTGTGTGTGTGTGTGTGTGTGTTTCTGCAGCCTGGTCTTGTCCTCTCCATCTGCATCTGGGTTCTAGTTCAACTCAGTGTTTAGGTACGGGTGTTTGCTTCTGTTTCCAACAGGTATTAGATGAGGGCTCCATGGATAAGTTAGTTGTTGATCTCACTACCCGGAAAGGGCATTTATGGTAGCCTTTCCACGGAAGCTCAAATTGTTAGTTGGCGGCAGTCTTGTAGTTCTCTAGACCTTTCTTTGGGTTCAATTTTCTTTTCAAACCAATATTGGCTCCCTCTTTTATGTTCTCTCTCTCTCTCTCTCTCTCTCTCTCTCTCTCTCTCCCCTCTCTCTGTCTCTCTCTCTCTCCTGTCTTCTATTCCTAACCTGACTCAATCTTCCTAGTTGCACGTGTTTTCCTCTCCCCCCCCCCCCGCTTTCTCCTACTTCTTTATCCATTCACTGCTCCCCCACTTCCCCTGTGCTCTGGGGGACTTGTCCCTTCCCACTTCTGTGAGGGACTTTATGAATCTCTTAGAATACACCTTGTATCCTCGTTCCTCTGGTGGTGTGAATTATAGGCTGGTGATCCTTTGATCTAGGTCTAAAATCCATATATGAGTGAGTACATACTATGTTCCTCTTTTTGTGACTGTGTTACCTCATTCAGGATGGCTTCTTCAAGTGCCATCCACTTGCCTGCGAATTTCAAGATACCATTATTTTTTTCTGCAGAGTAGTACTCCATTGTGTAGATGTGCCACATCTTCATTATCCATTCTTCAATTGAGGGGCATCTAGGTTGCTTCCAGGTTCTTGCTATTACAAATAGTGC